AAAAACCATGGGTGATAAATCCATGTTTCTGAGATGTCATCATTCTGAACAACCTAAGAAATAAATCACTTCTAGTTAAACTGAAAGTTTTCCTGAAGCTATAATCTTTCAAGTTAAATAAATGATTCTGTAGTTAATTGGACAGTTTAAAATGAATAATTTCAAAGCACCCATATAAGAATCTATGTCTTTAATTACATAAATGCAGCAGTTTTCTTGCAAAATTCCTAAAAAGAATTTCATCACTACCAAAGCTTCCCCACACAAATAAGGAAACTGGACACAACCTGCTCGGGTTTTTTTCACTTAGGTAAGAAAGGCTTATTAAGGGAACATTTACAGATTCCCAGTGACTCATTCCTTTACAATAAATTGAAATCTGGGTCCTAAAAGTTCATGATTCATGGACTGTCTAAGACTTGGACATGGAAACCCACTCAGATGGTTAAGAGGTATTCACAATTTAGGATCTGCTAGAATAAATGAAAAACTTAGGGCTGGGGATTTAGCTCAGTGGTTCCGGTGCCTGCCTTGCAAGCACAAGGTCCTGAGTTCGATCTCTGATACCAAAAAAAAAAACAAAACAAAAAATAAATGAAAAACTTGTACAGTCTAAATTATTGACCTGCATATTTTTCTTGACCCAAACTCATTCCTTACATGTAGCCTCAATCTTTTCAGTATTTGGGTTACTGTTTGAGCAGAAGCCAGGAAAAAACTTTGCAGAGGTCAAAAGTGTTATCCTACTGCATATTGTTTATTTCACTGTAAATAATAGCGCACAGTGGTCAATAAATAGCTTTATATTCCTTAATAAAAAAACAGAATACCAGCTTGTTCTGTGACCTTTTTGAATAAGAATCTCTCTAGATAGGGCCAAGAAATCTGAATTTTTAAGAAGTACCTCAGATGATTCCAATTCACCACCAGACTTGGGAAGCACTGCCCTGTATGGCCAAATAGCAACACTGTCCACCTGGCTTCCCAGGCCAAAAACTGAGTATCGTCCTACACTGCACACCTAAAAGGGGAACTACTCAAACAGAATTGGAACAGGAGCTACTCATCCTGTTTAGGATGCAAAAATCAGGCATATCTTGCCCTGTGTTCCCTCTTTTTTGTCTATTTTGAAAGCAATTTATTTATTTATTTATTTTTTTGGTGGTACTGGGGATTGAACTCAGGACCCTGTGCTTGCCAGGCAGGTGTGGCACCACTGAGCTACATCCCCGGCAATTTGTTTATTTTTTTAATTTAGTTTTTTGAGCTATGTAGTCCAGTCTGGCCTTAGACTCACTATGTAGCCCAAGCTGGCCTCAAACTCATGGTGACCTCCTCCCCAAGCCTTCTGAGTGCTGGGATTACAAGCATGCACCACCACTCCCAGCCTGAAATTTATTATTCTAAAATATTCTACTTTTCCTTTTCTAGGAAAAGAACTGTCTCATGGTAGTCCACAGTCTTGAGTTTTTCTTTGAGAGCACTTATAATGGTAACATTGGAATTCTTTATTTTTGCCATAATTGGCTAAAATCATTGGTGTCGGACAGCAAGAATGACTTTTTTTTTTTTAAATTCTAGGTATCCCATTTCTGAGTGTTGGGAATTCAGAGCACCTTAAACTAGAGATTAGGACTTCAAAGTGTGGACCGGTTAGTGTATGTGATTGTTAATTGTGATTGGTCAACTTGACTTCAGTAAAATCCGCCTGGCAGGTTAGTAAATTCTGGGTGTGTCTGAGATGACTGACATCTAGGCCAGCAAACTGAGGAAGGACGACCAACCCCAGATGTGGGTGGGACCAAAAGGCTTGTAGCTTGGACAGAATAAAAGGGAAAAGAGGAAGAAAGTGTTTCCCTTTTTGGAGGAGGTCCAGTCTCTGCCATTGGCTTTGGGTGTTAGTTTCCAGCTTCTTCAGCCTTCCAGAGCTGACTCTTTAGCTTCTAATGCACATTCTTCAGCCTTTGGACCCAGACTCGCACCAGTGACTGCACAGCAAGCCTCCAGGCCTTCAACCTTTGGCTGCAACTGGACCCTGCAGCACACAGAGCACCATTTTGGATTTTTCTGCCTCTGATCCTACAGCCAGCCATCGGGATTCTTCTACTTCTGGATCCTGTCACCCCACCTCATAAATCCCATGTGTAATCACACATACATTTTATATTGAATCTGTTCTTCTAAAGAACCTTAATATAGTGTATAATAAAGTCCCACCAGATCCCTTGCGACAAATATTACTCTCAACCAGTAACCAAGACAAACCTCTCTGAATTGAGGGTGAAGACCTTCCTGACTGCTTACGACTGATGTAAGTACCCAGGGAAGGCTTCTACTGTGCTATAGGACATGCTATGATTGCTTTTATACAGCACTGTATTCTCTAAGGTGACTGTGTGTATCCTGAAGGCAGCTGCACCACTCAGATTCCTGGGCATAAAGCATGGTGGCTTGGAGCTGGAAGAGGTTGTAGAGAATCTGATCCCACCTCCAACATTCAGTGCCTGTTTTCAAATGGATTCTTACAGAAAGGTTCAACTCCAATGGCTGAGTCTGTACATCTGAATGGACCATATAGAAAAAGAGTCCCAAAGACAGAGATGGCTTTTTTGAGTGCATAGAGGAAGTGATCCTTCAAAGCAGGGATTTGACCTCATCTTATAGGCTTCTGGTCTCATCATCTTCTCTGGTCTCGTCTTGTTTACATCACCCTATTAGTTAAGGTACAGCCTGCACTCTGAGCCAGGCAAGGATGAGGCTAATGCTATGTGGATTTTAAGAGGACCCAGACCCAAAGTTACTGTGCAGATCCAAATCACTCATAGAAAGATAAAGACATTTCTGCATACCTTGTCAGAAAATGCATTTTTTAGAAGATACTAATGTATACTTTCTCCAAAGCTTCTTCAGGGCTTTCTTCTGCCAGGGCTTTTGTTTATCTGTTTTTCAGTAGAGCAAACATTTTCCCATATGGACTTTTTAAAAGAGATTCTAAAATTTTATCAGGCTTAGATATACCTGGGATCAAATAAGTTTTGTTTTTTTTTTTTGGTACCGGGGATCGAACTCAGGTCCTTGTGCTTGCGCAGCAGGTAGCGAAATCACTGAGCTAAATCCCCGGCCCCTGATCAAATAAGTTTTTGAGCTTGGCTGTTTTCCTATTAAATCTGCCATTCCTTGGGGGCCTATGTTCAAGATCCAAGTAATCAACCTATAAATGAACTTTTCATTCAAGGTGTTTTTTATTTTTTTAAAGAATTCATTTTCTTCTAGATCAACACAGAAAGAGTTGGTCTCATCATTGCAAAAATGATGAGCTGGGTATGGTGGTACATACCTATAATCTCAGCACTTTGGGATGCTGAAGGAGGAGAATCACATGTTTAAGCCCAGCTGGGACAACTTAGAGACTTAAGAAGACCCTACAGTGGACCCTCGAGTTACAACTGGTCTGACATGAATAACTTGGGTTACAACTGGAATTTTAGTTTTATCTTACAAACAAATTCTTGAGTTATGACCTGAATGCCAGCTGCTTGTGCTCCCAGATGGTCTCAGATACAGATTTAACCCTTAAAGAGTTCTGGAAAGAACATTACAACATCCTTTCTTGTGTGGGGTTAATTGAGAAATCCTGGGCCAATGTCTGTCCAAGGACACTGAGATCTGCCTGTATACAGGAGAGAGGCTTTGAAGGCTGTGTAGGGCCCTCCTGAACAAATTGAGTTTGTAAGTCAAGGGTCCATTGTATCTCAAAAAGTAAAAGGGGCTGGATGTAGCTCATGGCGAAGGCCTTGGATTCAATCCCCAGTACTACAGGCGGGAAAAGTATTCAACAAAGGACAAGTAAAAAGATACATTAAAAATACTTGAAGATTAGAAACCAAATAGATTTCTTTTAATATAAGAGGTAATCAAAATATACAAAAGACACATTGTCTTTAGTCCTGCTCAAAATCCTCTCCCTCATTTTCAACACACTTATCCCATCATTCTTGCCACTTTATGAAGCGATTCCGGAAGTCCTCTTTTACGTGTGTCTTTACAAAGTGTGATTAAAAATACAGTGAATGCTGCTGTTTGAGTCCTATCCAACAGAAACGCACGTTCATAAAGACATTACGATGTGTCCTCATCCACTTTATTCCCTGTATGTGACACCGTGCAAATTTTGGTTATTCCCCAAAGTCAAAATGACCATGAAAGGTCATTGAATTAAAAGGTTTTGAATTCAGGACATCAGGGCAGCCAGGACAGCACAATTAAAGACATGCATAAAAAAGGCCTTCCAGAACTGCTTCAGAAGGTGGCAAGAAGAATGGCGTAACTGTGTTTGAAGCACAGGGAAGCATTTTGAAGGGGATTAATGGCAATGTGTCTTCTAGTGCAATAAATTTTTTTTAAAAATTAAACATATACTGTATTTTTATCACAACTTGTATTAACTTAACTCAGTAAAAATAACCAAGAAAGACAACAGAATACCTTTTATGGTAATCCTTTAAAAGAGACTAAATTTGTGTCTACAGAAAGGGTTTAAATAGGACCTAGGTGAAAGAGATCCTCTCTTCTCAAGGCCCTATCACCTATATCAATTTCCTGCCCTTCTTAGGACAGACATACCCACAGGTGTCTCCTCCATGCCTTGGTTCTACCTGAGCTCCTGCTGCCTCCCCAAATGGATTAACCCATCATGTGACTGACAGATGAATGGGTTCATGGGCATCTGGAGAGAACATGCACTGTTGTAATGGCCAGTTTGGTGAGGTCTCCTGTAGACTCCCCGTCTCTCATCATGTCATGCCCTGCTCTACCTCAGGACTCTGCCAGGCCCTCACCCTGTGTGGCTCCTTGGCCTTGGACCAGAACTATAAGCCAAAATAAACCTCTTCTCCTTATAACTTACCTGGTCTGTGGTACTGTGTTATAACAAAAAACAGTCTAAGATAGTAAACATCATGAAGAACCCATATAGAAATGAACGGAATGGCCATTCTTACCAGATGGCTCTGTTCCCTCAGGGGTATTTCAGATCCAGGTTCTCCCTCGAGGCTGACAGACTCAATGCACTCGGCAAGTGCATCCTCAGTCACTTCTCTGTTGAGAGGGGGCTCCAGGGCACTGGACGGCTCTGGGTGCCTGTGGGCAGCAGTCTCTGCACCATGACCAGCTGCATTCTCATGCAAATCATCTCCTCCAGGGTCCAACGGTGCTGGCTCATGTGAACACGTGGCTAAACTGCAGTGCACTGGTGCATCTTCAGGTAAAGAATCACTGGTGGGCATCTCGGGCATTTGTGCTCCATCTCCAGTGGCTAAGGTGTCACCAGCATCATCAGACATTTTAATATCTGTCAACATGATTACAAATACTTTATGCTTTAATGTGAATTGTAAAGCTTTCATTGAAAGCTATGAATAATTCAATTAGGCTGGTGGTGGTTCTTCTAACTTCTACTAACAAGTAACTTTACATAACCTTATTGTAGCTTGAATAATGGCCTCCAAAGTTATTCATCTTCTACTCCCTGGAACCTGAGAATGTTCTTTACATGACAAAAAGGATTTTCAAGATGTGATTAGGACTTTGAGACAGGAGGGGGGCTATCTTGATTTACCTGAGTGTCCCCAACAGACAACCAGAGGGAGCTATGACTACAAAGAGAAGGTGATGTGACAACAGGAGCAGAGGCTGGAGTGATGCACTATGAGGATGAAGGAAGGCAACACAAGCCAAGGAACACAGGCAGCACGAGAGGCTGCAGAAGGCAAGGAAACCATTCTTCCTCTGAGACTCTAGATGAAAGCAGCCCTGCCAGCACCTTGACTTTGGCCCAAAGAAACTAATTTTGGACTTCTGACCTCTAGAACCAAAATTATTTAATCTGACTTTATTACCTTTGTAGCAAATAATGAGATAGCCTAGAGAATACTTGAAAGGTTATTTTAAAAAAGGATCGGTCATTAGCTTTGCAGTGTCACTAGGGATACACAGCAAGGACGTACATACACACAGGTGTGCTTTGTTGGGGACCAGCTGGGAAAGGTCTGGGCTCTGGCTGGACAACAGTTTAGTCAGGAACGCACACAGGTGAAAGGGAGATAAATGACATATGAAGCCAAATGAGAATGTAGCCATTATACAGTAACCTACCAAGTAGAAAACTTTAGAAGCTTATAAGTTATTGATATCATATAGAATGGCACTGTTCAATACAACTTTGTGCGATGAAGAAAATGTTCTGTACACGCACTGTCCAATAAGTGGATACTGAGCACCTGGACCATGGATAGTGCAACTGAGAACTAAACATTTCATTGAATTCAGTTTTAAATAATTTACATTCTTATGGGCATGCGTTGCTTGTGGCTGCCTTAATGGATAGCATAAATGGAGACGACTGGTTCAAGAGGATGTCTGATCTAAAAGGAAGGCAAAGAGTTCTCACTATACAAGCCGAGTCTCAGGCGAATCAATGGGCATTTTTGTTGACTTTAGTCTTTACCAACTGGCCAAATCTCATGTTGCTGCTGAAACCATGCCACGTGAGAAGCCATTTAACACACTGGCTGCATGGTGGGACAGGCTTGCTCCCATGGCTCATGCTAAGGCACTGGACCCCTCAAGCAGCCATTTTGGTCTTTTCTAATGCTCCATCTCCTTGGGTGGGTCACACTCCTTTCTGACCGTTTTCACACACCACTTCTGTGCTGTGGCTTTCAGATATCTTCCATTCCATAGACAGAAAGAGCAGTGGTTTTCAGCAGCTGAAGGGAGAAATGAGGAGTGACTGCTAATGAGTACAAGATTTCTCTTAGAGGAGATGAAAATGTTCTAAAATTATGATGGTGGTGATGGATGTACATTTCTGAAATACAAGAAAAGTGATTAAACCTCATATTTTAAAAAATTAATTTTGTAGGATATGAATTATATTTAAATAGTTCTGTTATTTATTTTTTAAATTCCACCTCTAAATAAGTAGTTCTAAAGGCCAGCTGGACATCTCTTTCTGTCCCCAAGGGAGCCTGTCTTACTCTTAACTCCAGAGCTTCTTGTCTTTGGTGTTTCTCTAAACAACACCTAGACTTTTTCCTAATAATCCAGGCTTAAAACTTCAGAACTGTGACTGACTAAACTTTTCATCTTTCCAAGAATATATAATAGCAACAGCTATCATTTACTGAGCAACCACTATATCCAGGCCATTTAAATGTATTATCTCCTGTGAGTTAGACATGACGAGCTCCATTTTACACAGGAAGGAACTGGGGCTCAGAGGTCACACTTTATAAATGGCAGATCTGAAATTTGGGCCCGTATCTGAGACTGAATCCATCAGAACCCTATCTGCAGTGCTGCCTGCCTCTTCCTTTACATTCAGTCAGTAGCCACAACCTGGAGCAATGTTCACTCTTCAGAGCCCATGCCCATTGTTCTATTCTCACTGCCAGGTCCCTGTTTTGATTCATGCTATTTCAGTACTGAGCTCATCACTCCATTGCTACTCCCTCCCCTACTTCCCACCCTTCATCTCCTGGGTTTAATTACATCCTCAGGGACTCCCCTCTTTGTCCCCACTGAGATCAGGCCCCACCTTCAACTGGCACCAGGGCACTCTGTCCTGACACCACTCCACTTACCTCCTGCTAGTCCCTTGCAAAACTTTAAGTGAGACAATATAAGTATCTGTTCAGTCACCGTAGACCCTCAGGAGGCTTTGGTTCAGTCTGTTGATTTTTTTAAACCCATTTTAGGCTCAGGTAAAACAACTACCTCCTTAATTCTTTGTTCCTCCAATTGGATTTAATTTTTCTTCTTCTGAATCCTCAGAGTGCTTTGTAGCTACCTTACCCTGAAGAGTTACAATTCTCTTTGATTTGAGGTGCTTGAACTTTCTCCCCATTATGTGTAATTCTATGAAGACAAGGGTCTTCCTTGTTGTGCTTTCACATTTTATACAGCATTTAACATCACTTTTTGCACATAATGGAAAGGTCAATAAATATGCCAGTTAAGCTGTATTAATATTTGAGTAGTGATACTCAGGTATTCATTGTAGCAGGTGTTTCCAAGTGACTCTATAATTCCATACTGTCTTTTATTCCTTTACCTCTCTGTTAACTGAAGAGATGGTTTTAGCCCATACCTGCTTAGCCCTGTTCCTTTGGGACCTGTGGTGAAGCAGATTATTATGGCAGGAGCGTGTGGCAGAGTAAAACTGCTCATCTCAAGGCCAGGAAGTGAAAATGACAAAGAGGCTGCGGTCCCACCATTCCCTTTAAGGGAATCTAAGAGAAGACCGGACGGTCTCCCACTAAGCCCTACCTCCTAAAGTTTCCATCATCTCCCAAGAGTCCCAACCTGAGAGACAAGCCTTTAACACATGGGTTCGGGGGACATTCCAGAGCCCAACTTTATAGTCTAACTCAACTCCTGCCAGACCTGTACTCAGTGACGAAGCTCCTGCAGATAGGCCTCCAGGTGGGAAAGGCAAAGTGTGCTTGCTGCCCTCTGGCTGTTATACTAAGTACTGGACATTCAAGGTTGGCCACAGGCTGTCAAGGAGTCTGCCTAGTTGAAATAGTAAAGAATGGTACAAGGCCACTGTGCCAAGAAAGGGTTATTATTGTGGATCATGGTAGGGGTGTGAGTTGGGAGGGGAGTAGATTTGATGGGGGCAGCCTGAAAAGCTGTTGTCTTTAGGAAGCTGATAAAATTTTTGTGAAAATCTCTTTCGGAATCAGGACTGGCCTAGGCAAGGGGGCAAATCACAACCTGCTAGCCAGATCATGCCTTCTGCCTGTGTTGTTAATAAAATTGTACTGGACAGAGGCATATTCTTTTGTTTACATACTGTTATGGCTTCCCTAGCATGACAAAAGCCTAAAATATTTACTGTCTGGCCTGTCACAGAGAACGTTTCCTGGTCCCTGGCCTAGGATATTATTTGATTGCCACATCCTACATATTTGTCTTAATCTATCCTGCTCCCATCTAGGTCCTTAGGTCCAAATCTTAAGGAGAATGGGTTGATGAATAAATAATACTTCACTTTTACTTTTATTCCCATGCTTTTTATCTGTAGCTGGACATAATCTGATATTTTTATTTGTTTGTAAGGTAATTTGAACATCCTTATTAGGGGTGGATTATTAATAAAATCCAATCTACTTCACTTTTCTATAAGCAGAAATATGAGAATAAATCTGGCTATGATAAGCATTTATGGGCAAATAAAAGCCATTATAGACACTTCAATGTGTACACTTTGTCCTAAATGCAGTTATACTGTCCACAATAGATTCTAAAATACTTTAGCACATACCATGTGATGTACATGCATTTTAATTAGTTCAGTTTTACACCATGAGGGTGACTGGTTAACAACTGAAGTGTCAGAGAATCAGGAATATGCTCTCCAGAATTCTTCAGCAAGCATTTTAAAATCCATATTTGGGTGTTCACTTCTCCAGAGGGTACAATTGCTGATTGGTATTGCAGGGGATGCTAATTAGCATCAGAGTATGAGAAATCACTTCTCACTCCTGGAACGGTTTCATGATGTGTGCACTGGTGAGAGCAATGTCCTGGTGCCTCTGGCTTTCTATCACCACAGCATAAGATTTCACTGAGTCTAGCAGCCTGTTGCCTTTTGGAGTGGGTTTTCTAGTACTGCTAGCTGCCTGCAGAACTCCAAGGACAGGAGCTGAGAAGTTTGGCCATGTCCTGCTTCTAGAACAGATGCCTAAAAGGACAGTGAGCATACAGAACAGGTTAAGTAAGCCTGCGTGCTAATAAGCGTGCAAATGTGTGGAAGGCTCCATCAGAGAACGTAAGTCTTTTCACATACCTCTCCACAGGGAGGCAGCAGGGGAGGAACCCACAGCCCTCATCTATATCTGATGGCCCAATCACCTTAGGTCATTTCTCTGAAGGGCAGAAAAACTGTCACAATAAAACTCTTCTCTGTGGCTGCTTTGCATTCAATTAGCAACACAAACCCTTTGGTAATACCAAAAAAAATCAGCCCAAGGGTGCTAAACTGATAGTGCTAAAAATATTTACTTTATTAAGTATACTGTAGAAAGACCAGATACTTACATCTGTTTAAATAATAAATATGGTTACCTATTTTAACTTCTAATTGTGTGTAGTTCTAATTTGTATTTAGTTCCATATATTGTAACTCTTTAAATTTTCCTAAACCAATTTGTCCTGATAGATGTTTATTGATGCTGGATTCTATTGTGATGAGGAAAATGTAATCATTTTTAAGATTGTGTTCTTTTGTCTGAAACCACTAGAAACTGCTGTAAACGCACAGCTGTTTCTGAGCAGGGACTGTTGGAGTTCACTAGGACTTTGGATGTGATACACTTGATGTTTTCTGGGGCGACACCTAGCCCTGCCTGGATGCTCCATAAGCACAGTCACAAGTCCTTCCTCATTTTGGGCTTGAAACACTGATCGCAGCAGCCATGACCATGGCTTTGAAGCTAGGAAAACTCAACCCACAGAAACAAGGAGGCTGCTTCAGGAAACTCCAAGGAGAGGAAGAATGGCATATAAAGAACTCTTTGTGGGCTGGGAATAAGTTAGTTTTTCATGAGCAAATTCATTCATCACCTAAAATGCTCCTAGAACTATGAAAGGTATTGAAACAGCAGCATCACTGCTTCCTAAATAAGTGTAAAACAGAAGAGAAGGTTACTGTCTTTATGAATCTGTTTGAGGAGCTAACACAAAGCAGCTAAAAGGCAGAGCAAAACAGCACAGCAAATAAAAGAAAGATGTGCCAGAACTGGACTGATCTGATGCAAGGGAGAGTCTGAAAGTGGCTTTGATATGGTGATCAGGGCGTGGTGGGTAAGAGCGCCGCAAATTCAAGATGGACAGCTGATGGGTGGGACAACGGAAGGTGCTGAGGAAGTGAGGGGACCTCGGTGAGGTCCTGGGGTGGAAAGAACTATGCCTTGGTGCGGTGGCCTTGGGTCGCAATGGTCCTCTGTGGGCAAACAACCCACTCATTCTCTCTGGACCTCCTCTCTTCCTCCTCTTTCAAGCAAGATGGACAACAGGAGCTGGCTACTTTGTTCTTTGCAGCCCTGACTGCAGCACTGGGCCCAGACCCTGATGGTGGAGAAAAATGAGTGCAAGATTTTGAGTTTTGCATGAATCTAAATTTATTAAACATAAAGCTGCCTTCATCTTGCAAATTTAGCTTTCATGTTTTACTTGGTATTAAAATGTTGCTCAATTTATTAAGAAGTGGTGGCAGTGGATGGATTTATTTTTAATAGCCTCATTTGGCAAAATCTGAATGAGGTAACATGATACTCTGTATGAGATCACCTCCCCCAGTTAAAAAAGTGCCACTCAGCAAAGGACCAGGAACACAAGCTCAGGCTGAGAGGCTCCCAGCTCCTGTGCGAGTGTCAAGTAGAGGTACAAGGTCCCACATGCGTGTCCATGTGTCCAACCCGCAATTTTCCAAAACAAAGATGAGACCTATTTGTTCCTCTGTTTAAAAATTTAGGTTGCTCAGTTATTCAGGCTGTGCTTGAACTTTCCATCCTCCTGCCTCATCCTCCCAGATTACTGGGATTACAGATTTAGCAATTTAGCAAGAGTTTGTCTAAAAATTAAAACATTTTTAAAAAGCTGGGGGTGTAGCGCAGTGTGAATCCCTAGGTTCAGTCCCCAGTACAGGAGAAAAAAAATCCTGTAAGTGTAAGAACTCTTGGACAGCAACTGTGGCCCCTCATAATCTAGCTCCAATCTCTGTCTCCTGCAACTCTCTCACCCACCACACTCAACATTTCCACACAGCATCAGAAAAACCTCCACACTCCTTGCACTGGCTGCTCTGCTGCCACTGCGTGACAAACTCCTATTCCCCTGGGTACCCAAAGTCTCATGTCACTTTTCACTTTGAAATCTTCCTTAATCTGCCCCTCGCCTTCCAAAGAATCAATTGCTCCTGCTTCTAAGTTTTTGTGACACCTTGCAGACTTCTGCTACTGCCCTATGCTTTTTAAAATGTTTGTTTCTATGTCACTCCTGCCTCCTGGACTGTGACCAATAGCACCTGGCTTCATTTCTGATCCATAAATATTTACTGAACTGAAATACACTGTGCTCGATATTGATTTAAAAGAAACGGTGTTTGATACAAGCCTGGTCTTATAAGTAAACGGCTAATTATATGGTCTGAATCCCGGAGAGTCAGGAAGGTCCCCTCCCACCTTCAAATTCCTTCTGCACTGGCTCATTTGTGCCTCAGATTCCACCCTAAAGTTTCACTCCTTTGCTTAAAGCCTACAACGTAAGACGTTAATCAGATTCTTTCCCAAACTCCGGTTTGATGGAAGAGGGGGGTAAAGAGCTGGTGAATGGGGATGGGATAGGAAAGGGGTGCGAGGAGGAAGAGCAGGCAGAGCGGGCAGACAGGGTTCTCTGAGGATAAAGCCTGGTCCGTCCGAGTCACCGAAGGTTGTCTGAGGTCTTAAGGAATGCGAGAGCCACGGATTAAAGAAGCCACTCGGTTGTATCCTTCAAGCTGTTCAGGATGGGAACTGATGGGGTCAGGAGGACATAATGTTCGCACAAAGCATAGAGCGCCTCCTACTCTAGGAACGGCAGAGCTCAGGCGCCCGGAGGCAGCCGGCTGGAAATACTCATCAGATTGCAGGGAGAAGCAAGGCGACTGGATGGAGGGGCTGTGGGCTGTGGGGAGGGGGACCAAACCTGGCTGCGACGGGAGGCGCGGGTCTGCCGGGGAGGGGGCCTGGGTGGGGGTTCCAGGCCCGAGCTCCGCTTCTGAGGCCAAGGATGGGCGCAGGGAGGGGGCTTCCTCCGCGCCCTGGGCTGCGGGGACTTGGACCCGGAACTCTGGGTAACTTCTCAGACTTGCTCGTGCCACGACTGGAGACTGCAGAAGGCTCCCGGGGCCGAGGGGGCAGACCCGGCGTGCGGGCGTGTGGGTGTGTGCATGAGCGTGGACCAGAGCGACACACACTCACACACACACACTCACACGCCCGCACCCACGCAGGGCCCTCGGCCGCACCGCCCGCCTCCCTGGACCCGCACCCCCCCAGGCAGCCCCCGCCGGGTGGCGCGCCCGGGCCAAGTTCCCGCTGGGCTCTGGGATGAGTGAGTCTCGGGACGAGGGTCGACAGCAGGGTCTCTCCGCCCGCCCGGTAGGAATGGGGACGGGGTGCCCGGGCTCTTACCGCTCCGGCGGCCGAGTGCGCTCGGAGCGCCCGGCGGTCCCGCCCCGCCACGTCTGCAGGTCCAGCGGGGACGCGTCCGGAGGGCGGACGGGGCGGAGAACCCGGGAGCGAAGGGGAACCGCCCCGCCCCGCAGCGCGCCCGCCGGCCCCACCCCTCAGACAAGGTCCCGCCCCCTGCCCGGACCGACCTCCCCGCCTGGCCTGGAGCGCTTGTTGCGTTGTCCCACCATCCTGGGAAACTAACTGGTAGGAGTTGTTTGGTTTCCGCGCCTTCCTTTCAAAAGCATCGGGAAAGCCCTTCGGTTTTACCCGGTAAGGGTCGCTTATCGAGAGTTTGTCATTTCCGCATTCTGAGTTAAGCACAACTCCCTAGCTTACCCTGTCGGTGGGGGTGTAATATGATTTAAAACAACAAACAACAGCAATGGAAAATCACTTTCTAGCAAGACAGTTTGGAACTGTGGCTCGCATCCCAAATGTATTAGCTTTGGCCTAAGGAGTGCAAGTCTGCGTGTGGCCTACGAAACCCGCACTTGCCCTAAGAAAACGCTTGTGCGAACGCGTGTGCACAGGGACGTCTACTGTAGCTGTTTGTGTCAGGGAGCGCTGCTGGAAGAACTGTGAATGTCTCACAATCAGGGACTGGTGAAATTAGTCACAGCAACGCCCAACAGTCGGATATGTTGTAACCATTAAAAGTTATCGTTTATGGACAAGGAAGACCTTTAGTATATGGCTAAATGCGCGGGGTGGGGCGGGGCTTACAAAGTGTGCATACAGCAGGGTCTATCTTTGGAAATATATATGTGTATGTATGTGTGTGTATGTTTTATATAAGACTCAGGGAAAATGTAATCTAGAAAGTGATTCTGAGTGACGTGCTTAAATTTTCTCTTCCCCATTCTACATTCTTTTTTAAAAAAAGTAATCAGTTCAAAAGTAAAGGAAAAAAATGGTCATAGCCTCATTCACACCCTTTCTCTATCGATAGATACTGTGATAGTTAACTATGTCAACTTGAGTAAGAAACTCCCAACTAAATCTGAGTGTGGATGAGGGAATTTACTGAAGACAGAAGAGCCACCCTAGGGAGGACTGAATGGTATAAAAAGGAATGATATAGAAGGGGGAACTCTGGGAGAGTTTCTGAGACAAAGCCGTCATGGTTCGGGAAGGGTGCTATCGTGGGTGAGGAAGGCCCACTGTGAGAGGGATAGAACTCACGACCTGGCGCTTGCGAGGCAGGCAGCGGAACCAGTGAGCTAAATCCCCAGCTCTTGACATCCACCTCTTGATCATGATATTATCCTAGAGACCTACAGGATGCTACCATTGGGAAAGATCAAGTTAAGGACACACAGAATGCTCCATTATTTCTTTCAACTGCCTGCCAACCTACAATTTCCGCAAAAAAATTTAAAGGAAATTTCTTAAATGAACAGAAAATGAAAGTGTTCTCAAAGAAAAATGAAGAATTCACCTTTTGCAGACATGGAAGCAGAGAAGAGTGCAATAACTTTCCCCGGGCTATACCCAAGCTACAAATGCCAGGATGGGACTTAACTCAGGTCTATCTGACCCTTGAGCCTCACTTATAACAACTACTGCATCATTAAACTAAGTACAGTACCTACATGAATGTTCGTGTTCATTGTCTCCTTGTCACAGGGCAGCTTTTGAGGAACCGAGGAAGTTTTGTAGGGCTGTAAGTAAAAGTGGAAATTCCCGGGGAACAACTATGTATTTACCATGGATGTAAGCCACACCTTTCACTCATGAGACATGGAACAAAGCATAGAAGTGACTTTTTTTCCAGATCAGCTCCTTTTCCTGAGGCAAATTAACAACACACAGAATAATAATACCCCTAAGAAACAAATGGGTGATTCCTAGAGGAAGGAGTGGGCTAAAGCCCTCCTGTTTTGGAGCTGTTCTCATTGAAGTGAGGAGTTAAGAGTCCTACCTACTGTTCCATTCTAGCCCATAGTGTGCAAAGGGGGTAAACCAAACCCAAACTTTGCAGCCTCTCATTGCCAGGTGTGGCAATCAGCATAATTGTGAATGTGACTCCAGAGAAACTCTTAAATTGTGTTTATTTATATAAAGCAATTGGCATCATACCCAGAAAAGCAATGTACTATAGCTGAAGCCTGTTAACCTTCACCCTAACTGATCTTGAATTAATGCATATTTCCACACACACGAGACAAATAAGAAAGCACAATAACCATGACTGGGAAAAGGTAATGTGGAGCCTATGCTCTTCTGAGAGTTCTTCTGCAGTAGTTTTTATAGAAAAAGATAACACTATTTTTTATTGTTAATACTGTGGATGGCCCGCCCAGTAGTATTTTGAGGTCCTAGAACCATTCACAAGAAGTCAAAGTCTGTTATGACTTACATACTCAGAAAACTTTATGTTTTATGAAGTCAAAGAAGACTAGTCACAAACTAGCTCACACTTGCTTCAAGGTGATATATTTGGAATGAGACTAAGGCATAGTGTAACATTTTACTTCTTCCAATTTCAGTCACTCCCATGCTGCTGATCACTGAAAAGAATATTACCAACTGAGAAGGGAGAATTCCATACCATTCTGACCAAATTCGGAAAATTCACTGTTAGAAGTCCCTGTCTTGTTTTCATTCTAAAAGCTTGATACAGTAGAAATTCTAACCCTTTCTCCAAAAACTCTAAGTTTCTGGGATTCATTATCCCGTTGGCTCCAAGAGTATCACTTAGACATTCCCTCATCTCTTTCATCAGTAAATTAGAAAAACATCAAAATGATATTGGTCCTATTTATCAGCAAAGAGAAAGATTCAAAGACAATAAGGAAATGAAAATAATCATTGGTAATAGCATTTAGGAAATGTGGTATTGCACAAGTTTGGAATAGTGAAGTTCTAGTCCTCCCTCTGCTCTCCAAATTCCAGTTGAGTTGGCCCTTCCATGTGCCTTCTATTCCTTTCTGTTGTTATTCTTATTTAATAAACTTTTTTGAATAATTTAGGCTTACAATAATAATGTCTCAATCATTTTTTATCTTGTTTACTCCATAATACACCTCATTTTATTCATCATTTGGCCCCCAGTTTGAGTAACTGTCACATATGCAAAACACATTGTCTCCTAGACCACAGTGACAGCATAAATTTTCATTGTACTAAACTGAAGACTATTAAAATGTTCTTTCCTCTAAAAAAAAAAATGAGAAAAGAAGAAAGAACGAATGCTCATTTCTGTTTTATCAGAGAAGCTGAAGTCTTTGCCTTCACCTTGGACGTCATCTCCTGGCTTCCATTGCAGACCCTTCGGCCTCCTGATACAGACTCACCAGGGACACTACAGTGAGCTCTAGGCCTTCGACTGGACCCTTCGGATCTCCAGTGTGCAGACATCTCTTTTGCACTCTTACACACCTGACTCCACAGGTGGCCATGGTAAGTCAATCTTGTAAATCCTTATATATCTTGCATTGAATCTATTTCTCTAGTGAGCACTGACTGATGCAGTTACCATCTGAAACAGTGCATGGATCCTGCTGTAGTTTTTCTAAACTTGTATACATATAGGTATATACACAGTTGGTTGCTTTTTATAAAAATTATAGTCAGCTTTCTTGGTTAAGAAATATGAATCAAAAGCATTCTTCTAAAACCTGCATTATATTTTGTAATATGTTAGTATCACAATTTACGCAGTCATTTCTCTATTAGTGAGAATCAGGTCATTTCAAGTTCCTTCCTTATATTTTCCATGTGATTTTTTTTTTTTTGGTACCAGGGATCGAACACGGGTCCTTGCGCTTGCGCAGCAGGTGACAAAACCACTGAGCTAAATCCCCGGCCCTTCCATATGAATTTTAAAGACCCCATAAGCTAATGAACATATATTGTTTCATGGAAAGTTATCTAATGTGACAGTGGGTAGAAATTGCTTTAAAATGGCATCAACCTTTTCAAATTGGGCCAGAACTTACCTTGGTTTTTCCTCCTCTAGAGTGGAATACAGAGGATTACCTTGTGCGTTTCCTTCTGATTCTGAAACTGTGAATGTTATCAAATTGTGATCCAGATGTAACAGGTGCATATTTTGGTGCACTATAGATACAAACATCCACGTCTGTGATTTAAGCCCCTACCTATAGATGGCGCTACTCTGCCTTCCCAACCCTGCTGAGAGCAGCAGCCAGCTAGTCAGTTCCCTGCTTCCCCTTTGACCTATACCCAGCCTCTCCCATAGTGTATCAGCTCAACAATCCTAGCAACAAAGTGGCTTTTTGCCCGCTACAGGTTATTTCCTTTAACTCAAATGTAGCTGCTTCCAAGCCTAGCAGTTTTATTTCAGACATTTTCAATTTTTTGTAACTTAAATTTAAAAAAATTAATTTGGAACATTTTGGAGAATTAAAAACATATTGAAAAGTTAAAAAAAAGTAGAAGATACTAAGGCAAATACTTGTTTGTATAGAAAAGTAAAGAATATGATGATGATGTTTAGATTTAGTAAATTTTAATTTTTGTCTTATTTTAGAACCTCTTTTTAAAAGAAACAAATTTGCTGATATGTTTGAAACTTTGTCCCTTTCATTCTCTGCCTTCCCTGGAGTGATGTGTTGTCCTGGGATGGTTGTATATTCCTCCCATCCATATTTTTGTATGTTTACTACACATATCTTCATGTATAAACATAGTTATTTTTCAATGATTTTAAATTTTATAACATTCTATACACTTGTACATAATTATTTTTTAAGAATCATTTATGCTCCTACATGTAGCTCTAGGACATTCATTTCAATGTTTTCATAGGATTGTAATCTATGCCACAATTTATCCATTTCCCAACTGAGAACATTTAATACATTTCATAGTTCATTCCACTTCAGGTAATGTTGCAGTGGGCATTTTTACATATACTTCCTTGCCTCCCAAGTTAGAAGTGGATTAGCTGGGCCACCTTTACTAGACATTGCCTAGTTGCTTTTTGGTGTGTTTCAACACTGTATTCAACACAACTTTCAAAAGCATGTATTTAGGTACCAAGTACTGCCCTAAGTGCTGGCAATACAAAAAGGTGCAAAGTCCTGACCCCCAAGAACATACATTTTATAGAAAGATGAGTAGATACTGACTTATAATGTAGTAGTTGGTGCATAAAGAAGGACATATAATCTGTAGACTCTAGAGAATGATCGATGAGAGCAACTATGGTCAGGGAAGGCTTTGATGATTGTTATAGCTTCTATCTAGATGTCCCCCCAAAGGCTCATACGCTCATAGATGGGAGTTTTCAGGTGTGGTTGGATCTAGAATGTGTGATATGTATTAAGGATATGTGATACCTGGATTAGTCTCTTAATTGGATTAGCATAGTATGGATAAATGGATTTACTGAAGAGGGAAGCCCACCCTGGGTGTGAGTGGCACCAATCAACAGGCTTGTAGCCTGGATGAAATATAAAGGGAAAGATAGAAGGCAGGCTTATTATGTCTCTGCCATGCCCCTGTGCTATGCTGTCCTGCCTTGGAGCCAGCTGATTATAAACTGAAACTTCTACAAACCCTGAGCTAAAATAAACCTTTCCTCCTTTAACTTGTGGATGTATAGCATTTTGTACCAGCAGCAAAGAAGTAACTAAGACCCTGGTAAAGTGGCATTTCAATATCACATGGGAGGTAAGAGCAAAGGTGAATGTGTATAGACAGTCTCAGGCAGAGGGAACAGCAGGAGCAGGGTGGGAGATTGGTTAGTGGACCCATGAAAGGCCAGGTGGGCAATGTGGCTGGAGCAGCAGGAGGATGGGCAGAGTAGAAGGAGATGAGGCCAGAGGGGTCATGAAGTCTGAGATGGAGCTGATCAAGCAAAGCATAATAGGGGTTTGGGTTTATCCTTTGAGTGAGAAGGAAATCTTTACAGCTGTTGAGTAGGAGTGCACTTTGATTCTGGTGTTGGAGTCTAGTTAGGTTGGGATGAAGTGGGTGAAATGGGTGGAGGACTGTGGAGGCAAGGATTCCAGCTTAGGAGGACATTGTAGTTATCCATGTGAGATGATAATGACTTTGAACCACCAGGGGAGTGTTGGAGGGCATGAGAGGTGTTTTGCTTATGGATATGTTTCAAATAAAAACTCAACAAAATTTGTTCATGGAATGGATGTAGACTTTGAGGAAATGAGAAAGGAGTCACTTATTACTTAGCCTGGGCTTCTGGAATAGAAGTGTCATTTATTGGGTTAAGGAAGAGTGGAAAAAAGGCCAATTTTGATGTAGTGAGGATTCAACTATTTGGCTTTCAACAAGAATGGGTTACCAAATGTTTATAGGCAGCCGGACGTAGGAGTTCAGGGAAGAAGTCCTGGCTAGGGGCAGTAACTGGGGAGTCATCAACAAATGGATGGTTTGATACCAAGGACTGGGATGGGAGTACGTGGAGATAAAGAAGACGTCTAAGACAGAGTCTTGGGTGTTTTGTGTCAGAGAGATAAGGAGGGCCTGGAAGAAGACTACGGAAGAAAGCCAGTGAGATAGCAGGATATTTGAGAGAGGGGAGGAGTACTGAGTCCAAGAAACCAAGTAAGAAAAATGTTTAAGATCTTTCAACTGTGTAAACTGCTGCTGATAATTCAAATAAGATGAAAATTGGGAACTGACCACTGGGATCGACAATATGGTGATCACTAGTGACCTTGAAAAGAGCTATTTCTCTTGAGTGGTGAAAGGAAACCTGATTAGAATGAATTTTAAAGAGTGGAAAAAGAGGGTTGGGTATTTAGCTCAGTGGTTCTGGCTTCTGCCTTGCAAGCGCAAGTTCCCGAGTTCGATCCTCAGTACCAAAAAAAAAAAAAAAGAAAAGAGTGGGAAGAGAATAACTAGAAATATTAAAACATTTCTTTCAAGGAGTTGGGGGTGTAAGGAGGAGCAAGGAAGCACTGGTAGGTTTAAAGGGAAGATAAAAAAAGATGAGAAAATTGTAGCATTATATGTTGATTGGAAATACTGCATTTGAGAAGAAAAACGTTGGTACAATAGAGAGGATAATTCCAAGAGTGATTTCCTTGAGCAGACAAACTGGAAGGGAATCCAGAGCTTAGCAGGAAGGGACTGGCTCTTGACATCAAGAATTCATTCAGAAGGGCAGAGGAAAATGCAGGCAGCCCAGGAGCAGGAAGGCTGAGAGAGTGGTGGAGAAGGATGCAGAACTGGTCTTCTGGTGACATCTATTTTCTTTTGAAAAATGAAGCATCATCAGCAAGAATGGAGGAGGGAAGGAGATGTTGGACATTGTGGGAAGGTATGGGATAGGCCAGGAGGAGAGGGAAGGCTGGCAGGATTGCTGCTCCCTCTTGAGGCTTGAACCCAGTCATGCACCTCAAGTGAGACCGGCAGCATAAATGTGGATATTTTCTCCAACTCTATTCTGCCACCTGGGCTCACTGTAGTCTGATGGAGAGTTAGACTTTACCTGAGGTGAGGTGGTTGGAGAAGCAGGTTGGCTGAGGGTGAGTGCAAAGGAACGATTAATGGGATGGATCATGATGTTCAGATGAGTGCAGTGAGGTTAGGGAGTTGGCATCAGAGGAAAAGACTTGGAGGTAGAGCTGGATGCAAGACAGTGGATGCAAATAAGATTATTAACTTGGTGCAGCCGTTGGTAAAGACAGTATCTAGGCTATAGTCAGGGACCGCGGGGCTGAGGTACAGTCAGGACGAGACCATTAGAAATGAACATATCCAAGAACCGAAAGGCTAAGGGAATGCAGGTCTTTAGATAGCCACTGAAATCACTAGAATTAGGAGAGGTTTGGAGTTTGTGAACAGTGCTACTCAGTGAAATAATGGAGCTCAGTAGATGAGGGCAAGCAAAAGGGGTAGGTTTCAAGAGGTGGAGAGTTGGTCAGTTTTCTGGAAGCAGCAGTGAGCTTTAAGGACACCTACACAACGTGCAGGCCCTGAGGGGTTGAGGGGCGCAGTCCAGAAAATAGGCACCACTAGAGGGCGCCATGCTCAAGATAGCTCCCAAGTTTCCCCGTCATCTTCCTGGGGTTGGGATACAGTCACCATGAACTTTTTTTTTTTTTTTTCTTGGTACTGGGGATTGAACTCGGGTCCTTGCGCTGGCACAGCAGGCGGCGAAACCACTGAGCTAAATCCTCAGCCCGTCCATGAACTTTTAAGATGGTACCGATGCCCGGCTCCCCTTAGACCATTTAAATCAGAATCTCCGGACTTGAATGAGAGTACCCGACCAACATTTTATATCATTAGGTGTTTTAATGCTTGTCCATCTCAGGGGTGTACAATGGCATCTCCTGGTTGTCCTAATTTGTGTTTTCCCATATTCTAGTGAGAGTATATACTTTTTCATAGGCTTGAGCTATTTTTATTTCCTTCTTTGTTACTAATCTGCTTAGATCCTTGGCTGGTTTCCATCCCTTGGG